AATGAAACGCTCGACTGAATCGCTTCCCTTGTAAATCACCTCTGTACGAAGCATAAATCTTGAATCTTCCCAAAGCCCAAACATGAGTCCATAAGGCCAGCTACAGCACACCTTTATCAAATCCCTTGCCCAACTTACCACCTATGTTCCTTTCCCCTAACTGTATTAACTCACTATTACGCCTATAAACCGAAACCTCATAAGTAAATAACCATGTAACCCAATCGTAGGCGGTGGGACTCTCCCACTTAGCTTGAATCCATCATTACACAACTCTAGAACCCAACAAGATACTTTCTTCATTGTTGACATGATCTAGCACAACCAACCCGCCAAATTCCTCGAAATCTTTCTATAAAACACTTTATGAATACTCTGAATCATCAACCACATTCACATGACCGAACTCTTTGCCGTATAGCCAATAGAATTCTTCGCAGAAGCTTCCCCAACCATGCGACCATTGATATGCTCACAGGAGATAACCCACCTGTGGAAATTACATGCCGACATCTCCCAACGACGTTGCATGGGGTACAATCGCTATGACATCTGCAACCCATCTTGAGGCCATACTCATTAGCCGACTGCACTAGTCCGTTCTCTTCCTATGGACATCCACTAAGTACACGACAATATCTCCCAATTCAAAGTCATGTTGTATCCTTCTTCACATCAAGCAACTCCTTTCTGTTGTATCAAATCTCCCGCCATATAATGGCCAATATTTCAAGTCAAGTTCGAAAACCAAGTCACTGTCCACCCTGAATCCCAATTCAATCTAGACTTTTTCTCCGGGTGTGGTTATCCTGCCACTGATCCCATATGCTACTCTGCCACTCTCCCACTTTGGTCAAACTCACCCCTCTGAGCAACTACTCGGCTCCTGTCTTCCACACTAGGCTTTTTAGAAGTTTAATCAACACAAGACACTTCCCACATGTCCTTCCTCATCCTCTGCCGCCCACTTGTTACCTTAAATCAACATCTATCTCGGTAGCACTTGCACCAACAGATCGTCCACTACTCTAAACCTTTCCGAAGATCATCTTTCTCAAGCCGTTCAACACTAGAAATACCGATTCGATCCTGAACCTCCGCACACCGCGACCCCTGACAGCCGTTCCCTGACACCATTTCATAATACCCTGCCTAAAGGCGAATTGAAGAAGATCATAACACCGGCAAACTTAACACATTCAATCGAGGACGACAACACCGCGTCGCAGATGAAAATTCCACCGCACTTGAAAATACCAAGGCTCGTTATTCTATCAACCCAAACTTGATAGTTCTTAGTCCGATTGCCTATCCTCTGCCGGAAATAAAATATCGAATCTCTGAATCATGCACCGAGTAAACCTCCCTTCAAGTCATTCACTGCCCCGTCACGTAGGCAAGCATCCTACCATCATATCAATACTGTGCGACAACCGTTCATAAGCATCATGGCAACTTGTGCCTAGCCTCAGAGCTCTTAGAAGTACAGCTACTAAGCTGAAACGACAGAATATCCTTCCACAAGGCGACGAACATGGTCAAATCAACTACGCAGGGAGAAACATCCTGCACCACCTCTATAGTACCTTTAAAATTTCTCAATTCTTGATTTATAATAAGCGCTTCGCGTCGCATAAGATCGTGTGGGAAGGAAACAAAGGCATAAGACTCAAAGGAATCAAATCGCACGATGAGGAATCAAGAAGGGAAGTGCTCCTAACAGCCTTGTAGCCTCTCGAGGATAAGTACAGACTCTACTAGACTTGCTCATGACTCGTGAGACCTAAGGGAACCTAGTGCTCTGATACCATGTTGTCACGACACAAAATCCACAAAGGGTCGTGGTGGCGCCGGACATCACTATCAGGCAAGCCAACACCAAGAAGTTGATTAAATTCCCATTTTAGTATTTATTGAAATCATTTCTTTTATACATTAGACGATAAATAATGAATTTCACTGAAATAAGTTACTGTTTTTAACAAACTAAATGTTGAACAATCCCATACTCATCCCAGAACCCAGTGTCACTAGTGCATGAGCTATCTCTAGGAAACAATATAATACAACAACCGTCCAGAATACAAATATGACAGAAAGTAAATATGGAAATCTGAAAGAGACTCTACTGGCTGCGGGTCATCTCGAGAAGTGCAGCTCACCTTAAGTCTCCGTATCAACCATGCTGCTACGCCCACTAGGCCGCTAGAGATACATGTGCCTGTGCAACAAAAAATGCACAGCAAGTGTAGCATGAGTACGAAAACAACGTGTACTTAGTAAGTATCCCGCCTAATCTCGAAGAAGTAGAGACGAGAGGTCGACTTCGACACTTACTAGTGCTCCAATAATTATACACAATTAATATAATAAATCAAAGATTTTTTTTATAAAACATGGTTGTAACTCAACATAATGAAACAAGTAAACAATTCTTTTATTCAGAGGGAAATTACCAAATTTCGTTTTCATCAATTATACATTTATTCTCAAGCCAGGGAGAAACAATATCAACTTCAATGAATTTCAAGGCAAGCAATACAAGCATGCGCAAATCATGCCGAGGTCGTACGGCCCGATCCAATAATATTTAAATTGTGCACTGCCAGAGGGTCGAATGGCGCGAACCATATATGCATCTATTTAATCTATCGAGGCATTCGGCCCATTCCACAATAGATAAACACATTCAAATAGTCAAATCAAGAATTCATCAAGGTGCAATTATTCAGGAAAAGGCAAGCTTCTCTTTTAAAAGTCAAGAAATGATGTCTAGCCTTTTAGAAATTTATTTATACGTTCGATATGTTTTAAGCATTTTTAAGTTGACAACAAGGTTGCAAATATTACAAGTAAAGCATGCTTTTGGGCCCTAGACTACCGGACTTAAGCATAATAGTAGCTACGCACGGACTCTCATAACCTCGTGCGTACGTAGCCCCCACAAATAGGAGCACATATCCAATTCATTCACCTATGGAGACAATTCTCTTTTACAAGGTTAGAAAGGAGACTCACCTCGCTCCGAAGTTCCATAACCGGCATTCCACGCCTTTCCGAATACTCAAATCGATGCAAAATACTCCAAAACTAGCCAATAATTATGTAAACCCGTTAATTTATGTTCAATTACTCATTATAGTCCAATTTATAACCATTCCTAACCCCGATCGAAAAGTTGACAAAATTGCTCTCGGGCCCACGTGCCCGAATTTTGAAATTTTTTAGAGATAAAGTTTACCGATGACCTCACGAACTCAAATATATAATTTATTCTAAATTCCCTGCCCAAAATCGTGGTCAAAATCCAAAAATACCAATTTCTAGGTTTTTCTTCAAAATCCCTAAATTTCTATAATTTTACATGTTTAAATCCATATATAATCCTTGTATTTAACACATAACTAGAAGAAATCACTTACCTCTTGATGATGGTGGAACCCTTTTCAAATGCTCTAAAAAATAGCCTAAGACCAAGTGGGAAATGAGGGAAATGGGCTAAGTCTCGGAATAAAAAGCCACTGCACCAGACGCAGAAGCCGCATTTGCGACCGCTGGATCGCAATTGCGATGGTCGCATTAGCGATAAAGGCATCACAAATGCGAAGCTAGCTCCCCCCTGCCATGGTCGCATTTGCGACAAAAAGCCTCACAAATGCGAAGATTATCGCAAATGCGATCTTCCCTCAGCAGCCCCAGGTTCGCAAATGCGAGCCTACCTTCGCAAATGCGATGGTCGCATTTGCGACCAACACACCGCAAATGCAGTCACACCAGCACCAGCAATCCCACTTCTCAACAAAATGCTCCGAAGCTACTCTGAAACTCACCCGAGCCCTCGGGACTCCAAACCAAACACCCACATAAGTCTAAAAACATAATACGAACTTGCTCAAGGCTTCAAGTAGCATCAAAAAACACTAGAATCATGAATCACACCCCAAATCAAACTTGATGAACTTTAAAATTTCAAACTTCTATTTTCGATGCTTAAACCTATCAAATCACGTCCGATTGACCTCAAATTTTGCACACAAGTCATATTCGACATTAGGACCTATTCCAACTTTCAGAACCGAAATCTGACCCCGATATCAAAAAGTCCACTTCCGGTCATACTTCTCAAAAATCTTCAAATTTCTAACTTTAGCCAAATGACTCCAAAATGACCTACTGACCTCCAAATCCACTTCCGAGAGCACTCCCAACACCAGAATCACCATACGGAGCTATTCCCAGACTTGGAATCCGAAACGGACATCGATAACATTGAAATGCACTTCAACCCAAACTTATGGAAATTCTTCCAAAATGCTAACTTCCACAATAGGTGCCGAAACGTTCCCGGGTCTTCCAAAACCCGATCCGAACATACGCTCAAGTCCAAAATCATCATATGAACCTGCTGGAACCTTCGAATCCCGATTCCGAGGTCGTTTACTCAGAAATCCAATCCCTGTCAATTCTTTCAACTCAAAGCTTCCAAAATGAAAATTATCTCTCCAAATCAACTCTGAACTTCCTGGAATTCAATTCCGACCATGCGTACAAGTCATAATACTTGAAAAGAAGCTACTCAGGGCCTCAAAACGCTGAACGACACGCTAGAGCTCTAAACGACCGGTCTGGTCGTTAAATTAATAGAGTTTCATTAGTGTGTAGAACAATGTAATTTGGTTGAAATACCAACAAGTGGGAGCAGGTATACATGGAATGACAGACATGGTGATAGTAGGATCTTATCAAAGATTGATTGGGTGTTCATCAATACAGGCTGGTTCAATTTAATGCTAGTATACATGGCACAATATCTAGAAGAGGGGATAAGTGACCATTGTCCACTCAAGCTATGAAGTACAAATTCACCTAGGAGGGCAAAAGCTGCTTTCAAATACTGCAATGTTTGGGCTACTCATCCAAAAATTATAGATGTAGTTAAGGAGGGATGGGAGCAGGATATACTAGGGTGTAGTATGTTCAGAGTTGTTAAGAGACTAAAGATGCTAAAGCAAAAACTAAAGGTGCTAAATAGAAGATATTTCAGCAACATTGTTGAAGAAGCTGATGCAGATAGAATGGCCTTGGCTAAAGCTCAAGCAGAACTTCATAGGAATCCATTGGATGCTAGCTGCAAGCACAAGAATTGCAAAAGTTCCAAAAGTTCAAAAGATCTTCCTACTTGGCAGAAGTATTCCTTCAACAGAGGAGCAAAGCTACATGGATCAAGTTGGGAGATGATAATAATAGATACTTATTTTTAGTGATAAAACACAGAAGATTACAAGAAGCTATAATTCAATTAGCTGACAAGTGTGGAAAAATGAAATCAGATCAAGAGGAGATAGCAGAGATATTTGTGGACTATTATCAAAAGATGTTAGGAACAAAGGGTAGGTTCAGGACACATGCCTTTCAAAGTTTTATGAAGAATGGAAAGACACTGTCAATTACTGTCAATTACTCAACAAATGCAGTTGGTAAGGCCATATACAGCTGCAGAAGTAAAAGCTGCTATGTTCAGTATAAGTGAAAGAAAGAGTCCAGGACCAGATAGCTACAGGAGTGATTTTTATAAAGCATCATGGTCAATTGTTGGTGAGGAGGTGACCAATGCAGTGCCGGAATTCCTTGACAATGGGCAACTACTTACTCAGATAAACTCAACTAGCATAGCTCTTATACCAAAAGTGGAGAATCCCTTACAAGCTAGCCAATTCAGGCCTATCTCATGTTGTAGTGTTCTCTACAAGTGCATTTCTAAGATAGTTTGTAAGAGACTTAGGAAAGCCATTCCACTGATTGTAGCAGACATCCAAGCAGCAGTCATACAAGGAAGATCTCTCATTCATAATGTACTTATATGTCATGACCTATTGAGGCATTACAACAGGAAGACTACTCCAAGGTGTTTGATGAAGATTGACCTAAAGAAAGCCTATGATATGGTTAGATGGGAATTTCTGAAGGAAGTGCTTAAAGGCTATGGATTTCCTATGCCATTCATACAATTGATCATGGTGTGTGTGTACAACAACTACATTCACAGTAAAAGTGAATGGTGGATATTTTGGATATTTTGAAGGGAAGAGAGGGCTTAGATAGGGGGATCCTATGTCTCCATTATTATTTGTTCTTGTCACGGAGTATATATCTAGAGGGCTGAATAAAATGAGTGAGCTCCCAGATTTTCAGTTTCATCCTATGTGCAAGAGTACCAAGCTGACTCACCTAATCTTTGCAGATGACTTGATGTTGTTTTTCAAAGGAAATATTCAGTCTTTTCATAGGATGATGGAAGTAGTGAATCATTTTAGTGAAGTTTCAGGATTGGTGGCTAACATAGAGAAATCAAACATTTTCCTAGCAAGAATGGATGAGGATACAAAGCAGACAATCCTAAGTAACACAGGGTTCTCAGTGGGTACATTACCTATGAGGTATCTGGGGTTACCTTTAACGTCAAAGAAGTGGAGCAAAGTAGAATGCCATCAATTATTGGAGAAGATTACAAAGAGAATTCAATCAGGTTATGCAAAACAGTTATCCTACACAGGTAGACTGCAAGTTATTAATGCAGTGCTATTTGCAATATACAATTTTTGGGGAGCTGTCTTTATACTCCCTCAAAGTGTTATCAAAAAAGTAGGTAGGAAATGCAGGGAGTATCTATGAGGCAGCACAAATGGGCAAAGGAAAGATGGAACCGGTAGCATGGGACTTATTATGCAGACCAAAGAAGTGCGGAGGGTTAAATATTAAGGGGTGTAAACTTTGGAATGTGGCATCAGTTGGAAAACTGTTATGGCAACTAGTGGCCAATAAGGAAGTGTTGTGGGTAAGATGCGTGCATAGTGTGTATATGAGGTCGTGTAGGAACATTTGGGATCACAATCCACCTGCGATTGTAGCTGGTATTGGAAGAAGATTAATGGATTAAAACATAGCAAGACTCAATAGTACAATGGAAACACATACATTTTTACTAGTAATGGAGCTTATTCTGTTTTTAGCAATTACAATGCAATGTTAGGGCACATGTCAAGAAGTTGGAAAATGAATTTGGTATGGAGTAAAGTGATGATACCTAGGCACAGATTTGTGTTATGGTTAGCAAATCAACAAAAACTACAAACGAAGGGAAGACTACTACAAATGCACATTCCTATCACAGGAGATGCTGAGTGTTGCATATGCAACTTGGGAGTATTAGAGACTCAACAACATCTGTTTGGGGACTGGTGTTGGGTGAAAAATATAAGAGATGCACTGGCAAGTTGGGTTGACATCAGATTACCAGACATGGCAATACCTGAGATATTATACTGGATTAGAAGGAGCCATTGGAAGCAATTCAGGAAGGAAGTAGCAGCAACAATAATAGGAGCAATAGTATATCATACTGGCAAGCTAGGAATTGGAATTTTTAGACAAATCAACCTAAACATAGAATTCTGTGTTGGCCAAATAAAGAAGGAGCTCGCAGAAAGATTGAGCATATATGTAGAGTCAAGAAGAGCTAAATAATGTCCATTGTTGATATAACGATTGTGTAGTTAGTTTGTAGTTCAGTTGATTTTTTTTTTCTTTCGTAGTGGATGAAGTTCTATACTTAGAAGGAAGTGTTTTTTGAGGTCTTGTTGTACTGGGACAAGCTAGTACACTTGATGCTCTTAGGATGTAAAGCATTTAGGTTGTAATGGTAATATTCACAGTTATTACCACAAAAAAAAAGACAACAACTAGGAGACACTCGTCACTCATTGGAAGAAATGCTTTAGAAGTTTTAGTATGTTTCAGAGATTGGATTAGATCAGAATGAAGAAATTAGGGACGTGACGATGTTGATAAACCAGAAGACGAGGAACTTGGAGATATATTAACACAAGGTAATCCATCTGAATTTAACACTCCAGAAGATGGACAAGAAGTTCATATTGATTATGAAAAACTTACTAAGGCAATGCAAAACCTTTGAAGTTCTTGATTTATATTTGATAATAAACTTTGAATTTACTCTTGTGATGACCCAAAAGGTCATCTTATGTTTTAGAACTCGATTCTATGTTCAGAGACCTTTATAATCTCATTTTTACCCTCCTCAATTTACGTGCACAGTCCGGACGTGTTTCAGGAAAGTTTTTATGTTGAAACTTGATGAAAATAATAATTTTTGCCTTTAAAAGTTGATTTAGTTGACTTCGGTCAACGTTTTGAGTAAACGGACCTGGACTCATAATTTGACAGTCCCGGTGGGTTCGTATCGAAATATGAGACCTGGGCATACGCCCGAAATCGAATTCCGAGGTCCCTAGCTCGAGAAATGAATTTTTGAGGAAACCTGAAAGTCTGAAAATTAAATGGTTTTAAGCATTTGGTAAATGTTTGTTATTGTTGGTATCGGGTCCGTATTTTTGTTCCGTAGCCCGGTACAGGTTCATTATGGCATTTAAGACTTGTCTGTGAAATTTGGTGAGAAATAGAGTTGATTTGACATGATTCGGACAGCCGGTTGTGAAAAGAGAAATTTTAAAGTGTTCTTGAGAATTTCATTTGATTTGTTGCTAAATTCGTAGTTCTAGGTGTTATTTTGGCGATTTGAACGCGCGAGCAAGTTCGTATGATATTTTAAGACTTATGTGCATATTTGGTTTGGCGCACCGAGGGTTCGAGTGAGTTTCAGATAGGACACGGAGTGAAACATTGACTTAGAGCATTGATGGTTCTGCAAATTCTGTGACTGGTGTCTGATCTCGCATTTGCGATATCAGTGTTCGCATTTGCGAACATTACCCATGCTGGCAGGCTCACAATTGCGAGCAAATTCTTCACATTTGAAAAGTGTACCTGGGCCAGCATTAGTTCGCATTTGCGATCAGGAGGTCGCTTTTGCGGGGAGCCAGTGTTCGCATTTGCGGACAAATCTTTGCAATTGCGAAGTGGGAGCTGGGCAATAATGATCGCAAATGCGATCAATTGGTCGCATTTGCAGAAGGATCAGAGTTCGTATTTGCGAACTATTTGTCGCAGATGCGACGAAGAGAGGAATGTGAAACCTTCGCATTTGCGATAGGTTCTTCGCAGTTGCGGGGCTTGCATTTGCGAACCCCATGTCGCAAATGCGACACCTGCAACTAATCAAAAGTTAAGTTAGATGGGATTTTTCTCTCATTCATCAAATTTTCAAATCCTAGAACCCTAGAGGCGATTCACCCAAGACCAATTCTTCCTCAATACTTTGGTAAGTGATCCTAACCCACTTTCTTTGAATTTCCCATCACATTTCATGAATTTCCAACCAAAAATCTAGGATTTCCATGGTAGAAATTGGTGGTTTGGGTAGAATTAGGGATTTTGGGAAATTGAGATTTAGACCTCAAATTGGGGTCGGATTTCAAAACTAATTACATATCCGGGCTCGGGGGTGAATGGGCGAATAGATTTTGGTCAAAACCTCGAGTTTTGACCAAGCGGGCCCAGGGTCGATTTTTGACTTTTTGGGGGAAGGTTTGAGAAATCTAAATTTATGCATTGTAGTTGGTTCCTTTAGCAATAATTGATGTTATTGAGTTAATTGTGACTAGATACGAGTAGTTTGGAGGTGGATACTAGAGGGAAAGCGGTAATTGAGCATTGAGATGCCCGCGGAGCGAGGTAAGTGTTGTGTCTAACTTTGACTCGAGGGATTAGGAACCTTGACTTATTTTCTACATGAAATTCATGTGAGCGGTGTATAGGTGAGGCGACGAGTACCTATGCACCGCCAATTTATCTGTTTTGCCTGTTTTCTTCCCGTTCTTTTTATATTGTCTTTTCTTGCCTTAACTGCTACATGCTTTACTTGTAATTCCATGCCTAATTGCTACTTGTTAGACATTATATCTTTTGTTAAAAGTGTTAGTTCTTGCGTAGCTTCTATGTCTCCTATTATTGTTTGAGCTAGTTATTGGTACTTTCAAGGCATATTATGGATTTGTCTCGCTGAGTAGAATAACTTGTGTAAAGTAACGTAGTGTATGATCTTTCTAAATGCTTTGGTTTGAAGTTGAACCTTGTGAAGAGTTATGTGATTTGAATTGTGTAATTTCTGTACTTGCTGAGTAAATGATATTGATACGATGGGATCGGGTTGCATGCCGCAACAGGTGTAATAAGGGCGGATTGTGGTGAGATAAGGGTCAACTATGATTATGATTATTGTGATGCGGTGGGATTAGGTTGCACGCCGCAACATGTGTAATAAAGGTGATTGTGGTGAGATAAGGGTGAACTGTGATTGTGATTATTGTGATATGGTGGGATCAGGTTGCACGTAGCAACAATCTTTTTCCTTAAGATTTCCTTTGACTGTGTTAGCTGAACGGTAGTCTTAAACTGCACTTAAGGATTGGTTATAGCTGAGCAGTGACGATATGTTTCGAGAACTGTATTCATCCCTTGCAAGTTACTGCTTTATTTTTTATGTTCTTCTTTCTGCTTTTATTATACACTGTATACATGTTATATTGTAAATGTCCCGCCATAGCCTTGCCACTACCTCGTCGAGGTTAGGCTCGGCACTTACCAGTACATGGGGTCGATTGTACAGATACTGCATTCTGCACCTTCTGTGCAGTTTTTGGAGCAGGTAATGGCTAATCGAGAGGTTGGTTGCAAACTTTGCAACTAGGAGACCCAAGGAAGTCCTGATGGCGTCCGCAGGCCCTGGCGTCCCCTTCTATGCTCCTACATTTACTGTTTTTATTTCCCTTTATAAACAGTTGTATCTTCTATCGAACAGATGTTTGTATTAAATCCTAGTGCGTTCGTGGATTGTGACACCGGATTCTAGGTAGTAATAGTAGTAGTATTGGTAATGGTATATAAACAAAGAGGCTATTTACTTACTTCCACATTTGTTTTTACTGGTTTTAGCTTGTTTATTGTATATCACTAAAACGTAAAGGATTTGGCTAGTTAAACCTCTAACGTTGGCTTGCCTAGCAAGTGTGATGTTAGGCGCCATCACGGTCCCGATGGTGGGGTTTCCGGATTGTGACAAGTTGGTATCAGAGCAGCAGGTTGCCTAGGTCTCACGGTTCAC